CCTCGCACTTCGAAGCCTAAGGATGCACGGATTTGTGAAGTGGTTGTCACTAGCCCTTTAAAGCCTGACTTTTGCGTGCAAAAGGCTTTCGGGGTACGGTTGTTACTGCCGATCTGATTGTTTTTTTATCACCCTCTAATCTCTGTGATTCTCTGACACCTCCATGACATTCGACCGTCCCTTAAAGGAAGGGTGTACATCGCCGCAGTTCCTAGTGTTCTGCTTTACGGCTGCGAGATCTGGCCTCTGAGCGGAGGATGCTAATCGACTTTCCGCATTCGACCACTGAATTCTCCGAATCATTGCTCGTGTCTGGTGGGAACATGGAGTGAGCAATGACGAGTTCCATTGTCGTGTGTTCTGTGTGGATAGTCGTTCCATAACAGAAGTAATCGCTTTACACCGCCTCTGGTGGTTTGGTCACGTTTTGCGTATGCCTGCCCATCGACTACCTTCTTGTGCTATCTTTGCACGTGATGGGCAAGGCTCTACGTGGAAGCGCAACTGGATCAGCATGTGCACCGACAATTGAGACTCCACCTCTAGAGGGAGGCATTCTTGAAAAAAGATTTCAATAATCATGTGTATGTTACTTGAATAACATTAAAAATTGTCTCCTTCGGTAACCCGTATAAGCGTACCGCGCCGTTCGATTTATAAGTTACTTTTAATTAGTGTACTTATCGTCACGTGGCAACTCATAAAAAGTAGATTTTCCATGCACAAATATTCATCCTATCTGCACCTTTTGTTGTTCAATTCTACAACTAACACAGCGGTTCTCATCTCAGAAGCATGTCCCTGTGACCATGAAATTTTTCGTGTTTAATTTCCATCACTTCAAAGTATGTAATGAGAAGAAAAAAATAAACGGTGAATGAAACTTTCCGATTGGTTCCCTTTTTTGCTATTGTTCCGTTCAGCGGTTCCACTACAGTGGTCTTGTCTTTACTAACTTGGTGAAAGTTCCACACAAAGCTTGTAAATCACCAATATGTCGATCACTCGAATGTTCCATCAACAATCGATTCTAAACTGTCATGATGTCATTTGGTTGTTTCCTACAGACCACGGCTATCACAAACCGCGAAGTTCGTCGTTGTTTTGTCAATTCCAAGTGAGTACATTCATCCATTCATATGCTCTACGCTCTGTACCTGTCAGTCGCAAGTAGTTACAACCAAGTGGCACAAACATGGTCACAGATCATTTTCTTTTTCATGGTATTTTAAATCTACGCGTTAAAATCTGCATGGTCTGTTGCCGGACGAGGAACATTATAAATTGGGACATGAACAAATTGCCGAAAATTCTATTTTTAAAGTCAAAACAATAATAGCTCTCGGGAGCATTTTGACTTCCGTTTACTTTCATCAGTCCCAATTTTATGCGATCAGCTCCCTCTACAGGATGAACCCGGTTTCATGGTTGTGATGGTTCCTATAACTAAGCGATAAAGTGGTATTCTGAATCACTCGGTCAAAGGTATCCTTAGCTTTCTCATACCCAAATGTGAGCTGGAAGACGGCTCTCCATCTCTTTTGTGGTACCCTCTCTTCCTAAGGAGCCCCACGCACTGCCTTGTGGTGGCAGTGTTCTCCCGCCGACGGAAAGGGGCGAAACGACATTATTCGGGGTTGATGAACAACTAGTAGTTCACCTAAGGAATTTGGTTAAAAAACCTGATTTTAAACCAACCAACACGAGGCGTACGAACCACTTCTTGATTGTGGCGGTGGTCACCGGCTTCATGAGACATCTTGAATGTTTTGACGTCATCCAAAGGGCATATGTTCCGATGAACTCCATTGCGATTTTCACGCACCTCGACGGCTACCTTCTAAATTGGACTTGGGCTAGAGAAGGGCTCCGGTTTTGAATTCCTCTAGAAAATTCATCCGTCTTGGCCCGGGCAGTCTGGCAGCATCGCGCCCAATAGCAAATTATTTCCCTTTTGAAGGCACTGTTGTATCGTGATTTGTCATATAGTCTGGATCGAGACGCATGCGAAATGTAGTGATAATGTAACTGATAATAAATTGCCAAGGTTGTCTACCTTTTCCGATTTCTTTTTCCATTATTTAACACTTGGTGTCATGAGTTACTATTTCGTAAATTTTGCTCATTTTTCCCTGTTTCTTCAACCGTCAGGCTTCCAAACACACAAAAGAAGATAACAGAGTTAGCGCTGGCACCGTTGGACTACAGTCTGTTGGTTGTCGGTGCTGTAGGTGGCCTCATTGAAGTTCTGCGTCCGGACTCGATCCTCACGTGTTTGCATCAGTTCTCAGTGCTTAATCCGACCTTGTCGACAGCAGATTCGGCTGTTTCGTACCATTTGACCGGTGTCTGTCTTGTTCCACGGCCAAACTGGCTAACTGGTTCACAGCCTATCACAGACTTATCGGATAATCGGTCTACACAGTCTGCTGGACGCCCGTCGGATCCAGACAATGCACTCGCACACAAGGGTCCATGTGATATTGAACCGTTCAAACGACATTTCGGGTGGCTTCTGGACGATGTAGTCCGCTTACGGTTACCTGCAATTAACGAGGTGTGCATTTTTCACGCAACATTTGCAAGAAATGATATCTTGATTCTGGTAAACGTGACCGGGCGAATCAAACTTTTGCTAGTCCTGATGCAGATTTACCATCAACAGAAGGACTGACTGATTATTTTTTATCATTTATATTGTCTGTTTCACACATGTTTGAATGACGTTTGTCCTCTCTTCCGGCAATATCCTTTAGGCTATATGTGCCCACAGCTTTCCAACAAATTATGCACGTCACCCTGGAAAGTACTATTATCCGTCGGCATTTAGTGCATATGGACAATTAAAGCACGCCTATTTTCAGTGACTTGCATTTTTCACACCTCGCCCTGTTACGTTGTGACTCAGGCTTTGGATAGTCAAAGGTTCCGGTTGTGAATTCCCCAAGAACACCCACCTGCACCGACTTGGGCAAACTGGCAGTACTCCACCCCAAGACTTCTATTTTTATAAAGATAACTGTTTTTGTTTTGGTACACAATCTTGATTCAGGCGTATGCGACAAATAATATAACGATATATCGGTTAAGACAGCTGGGATTTGCTTTCTCGCAAGTCCTTTGGAAGAAATAAACGGTTATAATATTGCTTTATAAAATATCAAAACAATCCTATAATGTCAACGGAGTGACACACACGAGCATACACAAAGCAATGAAAGTATTGCATCCTCCTAGTTTTTGCTCTTTTTTCCGCTCCCGTATTGTGTCGGAGTCCACATTAACTGTGCCCAACCTCTCAAGGGTCACAACTACCTGATCGTGTTGGAAGCATGCAGCAAATAGCCGGAGGTAATCCAGGTGAACTACACGACAGCTGGTGCAACCATCAACGCCCTCCGAAGCCGTTTCAGCAGATTCGGATGTCCGGAGGTACTAGTGTTATTTATCCATATGACTGCTTGGTCAAGGGTAGTTCTTTGTTGCGGATTACAGTCCGGATATCGCTAATTTGGCACACATATAATGAGGCATCTCATTTGAAACATGTCATCAAAATTCCCGGCAGCACAGGTTATTATTTGGAGCACAGCAATCCGCTCTGTGGTCTTGTTGACTTATGATCATACCAAGAAACTGCCCATCACATTATTTTGCATACTATTCACAAATGAGTAGTATCTCCCGATACTAGGCGATAACGGTGTCCAATTCACGGCACCCACCTCCGCAGAGTTTAGCAATCCCACCGGCATTCAACATATGCGAACTCCGCCAACCCACGATTAAACCGTCAAGTGGAACAATTTTTCAATACGTTCAAACGAGCACTGAAAAGGCACACAAGAGGGGATAACGGAGGAGGTGCTGGAGATTTTCCTGTTAATCTATCAAGCATTCTCGAACCCGAGCTCTCCAGCGGAAGGCCTGATGCTGAGAAAAATTCGTATGCCTTTCAACGTACAAAAACCAGATAGGCTAAGCAACGAAAAACAACAATGTGGCAGTTCAACAGGTATATATATATATATATATCACGAAAATAGGTCAGTTGTTTGCTCGAAGGCTTGGTACTGCTAGGAGGCGGATGTCCAGGTCATCCGATCATACGCCCATTGGCGGGGGTCAAAAGTCTGAGATGCCCAAGACCGATGCCCAATGGAGCCGGTGACCACAACCACATCCAGAAAGATTTATGCGTGGTTCATACGACTCTTTTTGATTAGCTCGGAATCAAGGTTTTTGGCCAACTTTCCTAGGTGAATTGCCAGTGGCTCATTGACCCGGTTATAGCTCCGTATTTTAGTCTTACGTCCTCTCACTTTGGTGGAAAAACACCTTGCATACCCTGCACGTATTTTGTCCGTATCCACCACCATACCATACTTTTCATTCCCTCTACTGTTTATCATGCTCGAGTGTGCGGTGAACCCCCCGTGGTCAGCACCTGGATATATGTAGGGTCTTCGTTTGTCATTCTCGATGAGATGTGTGATTGGCTCCCACGGGGATGGTTACGTCTGCGCCATCTTGTCGAATTCATCAGACCCCGGCTACCGTTTTAGCCCGTTTATCCGTCTGTTTACCAAGATGGGACTGGTAACACGTTGCTCAGCTTCTTGGAGCCATAAGTGAAAGCATGATAATGCCGGAGACTAAAGAGATGGAATGAACCGAAGGTTAGAACAATATATCCGGTCATAAACGCTACTCCTAAATGATTTTTCTTACATCCTCAAATATAATGATAATTCGGAAGCACCAGTAATTAGGAACTTTTTCTATACTATCTACTGTTTCCCAGGCTAGACAGGGTGTGTTCGATGGTGCGGGGGGGGGCATAAAAGTTGTCAGCTGATCTGGGAACGCATGATGAGAAATTGCTGCCGCAATGTTTACTACATTGGTTGGATTATGGAGTGATCAGGCCGAAAGGATGTCCAGCACACTGAGGTGCTCGCTTCATGGAGCGGGGGTGGGTTGTGGCACGGAAGGCATGTCCCTCTCTCGCTTGACGTAAACAGTGAGTATAACTCCTGAAACCGCCCAAGTGGTGTGACGGTTTCCTTTGATCTCAAAGCCATTGTCCTTTTGCGGTAGCGGTAATGAGGTTTATACCTGACAGCTCTCGTCAAATGCAGTGTCGATGACAGAATGCAGAACTTAGCTGTGAACGACGGCAATCAGAAAAAGCAGAGCTCAGATTTGTGAAATCGCATCGACAATGAGATCCACAAACGCACCAATTGGTTTACTTTTTTTCCTTCGTTTTTTACTAAGGCTTAGAGGGATTTTCATGAGTACTCTTCCATTGAAGTGACTTGAATTTTCTCTATTCATACAAAATAGAAAGATCTCTTTTCACCCTCGTGCAAGCCCTACACGATGTATGTCAAGCGTTCCTTATTTTTGCTCTGTTCCCAGAATTTGATTGTAACCAACTCTCATTCAAGGTGTTTTTGTATTTATTGGACAGCTGGTTTCACCATACTCTTCTCACTCCCTCTCTCTGCATCATCTTAGTTAACGGATACGCGTGTTGAAATGGCCGATATTTATTTGGACGATTTTCATTCCGCCCACGTCGGTGAAATCCACGAGCCTCCTCATTCGGAAACGAAAAACTTGCTCGAACAAATTGACAAGTTGAACTCTACCAATCGAGAATTGTTCCATCAACTCATGAATCGTGAATTGCTTGGTTGATTTTGACTGATGTACCTATATTTACCTATGTACAAACGGCTATATAAATTAACGACACCATTTCAGAGAGAGAGATTCTTTATCCAGCTTTGGGTTTTGTTCGTCGCTGACGTGGACACCCCTCTGTTTTGATCGAATGGCCCAATAAAGTGAAGTGCTACTTTCAGTGAGGTTCACTTTCAAGTTTAACAATCTCCCATTTCATGCTGGATAACTTTGCGTCGTAAGCGATATGCATTGAAATTAATCTTGTGCTCTCCCGTTGTCTGCAGCCACTACCGCTATTCATCGTGTCACTTCCAATGTTCCTAAAGTATTCGAAACACTGCAACCATCTGTTAGTTGCTTTG